AACCACAGGCATGTGCCACCACACCCTGCTAATTTTTTTCATGTTTTGTAGAGAAGAGGTCTCACTGTACTGCCCAAGCTGGTCTCAAACTCCTGGGCTCAAGCGATCCTCCCGCCTTGGCCTCCCAAAGTGCTAGGATCGTAGGCTTGAACCACCACCTCTGGCCAGAACTTCTTGTCTGCTCCCTCTCTCCCACTCCATCTCCTCCTCTCAGACATCTGCACATTTCTGATTTTATGTCCTCAATCTTTCTCAAATCCATTTCTTCTCTCCTTACCACTGGTTCCTGCCCTGATTCAGGTCTTTATCATCTGTCCCTGGAGCTTGGCATCTTCTTGACTGGTCTCTGCCCTTTCAAATCCACCCTCCACGGCACAGCCAACCATAAAGCCGAGCCCCCCACCCACCTTCTGGGACTCTCCAGGACTCCCAGTGACCAGTAGGGTGCAGTGCACATGGTAGCCCATGACTCCACCAGGCCCTCCCCCGCCGGCCCACCAGCCAGCCTCCCACTGCTTCCTGGATCCTACTTGATCTTCCAGCAAGGCCAAACGGCATGAGGTTCTGCGCCTACATCGGGTTGTCTCTCCCCTCAGTGCTCTTTTTCAGGCTGTCCACTCCCTCACCATTCCTTCTCCCACAACCTAGTGAAATCCAATGCATTTCTAAACACTTAATTCAGATTTCAACCCCTCCAAGAAGCCTTCCCCGACACTTCTCTCCCGCTCATTTTCTACATGAGAATCCTCCATCATTAAATACAACATCATGTGTTCTGGATATCTGCAGAGGAGTCTATTTCCTCCATTGTTATGAAGATTCTTGACAGCAGGGGATATATCTTATTTGATGTGGTGTATACCCACTGCTGGCAGAGAGGAGATTTTCAAAACCCAGATGAATGAATGCATGAATGAATGAGTAAAGGACAAACGAAGGGGTATTGACTGAGCCACTTTTGTGTTAGAGCCTCGGAGAGAGCAGACTCTTCTCCCACATTACCATGAGAAGGGCCCAGACCAGAATTCCCTCCAATGCATTGCACTTGCCATGTTTAGAAGCCACAGCCACTTTATTGGTTTTTCTCGCTTTTTTTTGTTTGTTTGTTTGTTCTTTGTTGTAGTGGTGGTTTTTTGTTTGTTTGTTTGTTTTTGAGAGGAGTTTTGCTCTTGTTGCCAGGCTGGAGTGCAATGGCACGATCTTAGCTCACTGCAACCTCCACCTCCTGGGTTCAAGCAATTTGCTTGCCTCAGCCTCTCAAGTAGCTGGGGTTACAGGCGCCTGCCACCACGCCCGGCTAAGTTTTTGTATTTTTAGTAGAGACAGGGTTGCACCATGTTGTCCAGGCTGGTCTCGAACTCCTAACCTCAGATGATCCACCCACCCTGGCCTCCCAAAGTGCTGGGGTTACAGGTGTGAGCCACCATGCCCGGCCTGGTTTTCTGATCTTCATCTCAGCCCCTGCTAGGCAGCATATGGGCGTATCTACCATACAGTAGTTCTGTGACCCTCGTTACTTATCCTTTCTAAGCTTCAGGTTGCTGTATGTTAAATGGACTCTACTTTACTATCTACCGAATAGAATTCCTGGGAAAACTGAATGAGATAAAATGAGATGTGTAATCAGAACTCAGTAAATGGTAGATGTAACTAAGCTGGAAAATTGACTGAGAAATACAGGTAGGCATAGTGGGAGTTCAGAGTGAAGATGTATTGGACAACTATTGTCTTCAGTAAAACATCTCCCCCTAAAGCCCTAAAGTATTCCTTACATAGTCAATAGCTCTTGGAAGCTCCACTGTCATGATTTTAGTGCTCTGCTACAAAAGGCAGTATTATCCATTTCCTTACCAGTCTCAACCAGTGCACTGAGGATTGCAGCAGGAACAAGAAAAACATGGGGAGAGAAAAAAATCAGTACTGTATACGAGGCCAGGCCTTCCCAAGACTTCAATCAGGCCCCTTGAGAAGCTGTAAATGTTCATCTCCTGGTGCCAAGGTGTAGTGGTGAGAGAGAAGGCCTGGCTCATCATCTTAGGAAATGAAATTAGTTACAAACACATTCATTCCCAGCCCAAATCCAAAAGCTAATCCTCACCCCAGTTCAGTAATTAGTAGGTGACAGTTTGGAGATTTGAGCCTACAGATTCGAAAAGTCTGGGACTGGAGGTCAAGATCGTGATTTCTGTTCCTGGATTCTCCATGGCCTGGCAAGCCACATCCATCTTCCTCACTCACAAGAGTGTCGGCGGGAGACCAGGGAGGCCTGAATCTCCTTGGCTTCAGCGTCAATCAACAAGTTTTCAGTGGGCAACTACAGGGTGCTTGCTACCCCGTGCTAGGTCCTTTGGGCAATCCTTGCAGATTTACAAAGTACCAAAAGAAAACATGACACCAGAAGCAAAGAGAGTTAGAGCCAGTAAGACTAATCTGGTGAGTAGAGGCCATTGTGTGTTGGAGCCAGCTCTTACGGACTTCCTGAGAGCCGATTGTTAATACTTCAGAACGTTTGCAAGCCACTTGTTAAATTGGCAGTAGTTTGAAATCAGCCATGAGTATTTTCACCAGAGTATTTGTAGTGGCAGGCACTACAAATCAAGGTTTCTCCCCACCCCTCCAGAACTGGTTTCCCAGCACCCCAATAAGGAGTTCCCAAAATATAAGACTTTAAGGCAGGCGAGGGGAGTGGTTTTGCATGCGGGCTATGAAATCACATAGACCTAGGTTAAAAATCCCAGCTCTACTAGCTGGATGACCTGGGACAAATTACTAAACCCCTCTGAGCCTGTTTCTTCATGTGTAGAGAGCTCACATGTATTCAACGCTTACTATGTACCAGATATTATTCCCAACATTTATACATATTAATGCATTGATTCCTTGAAACAACCCTATGAAGAAGAAATTATTATTATCCCCATTCTATAGATGGAGAAAATCAAGCCCAAGAGAGATTCGGGAACTCCACCAATATCACACACCTAGTCAGGGGCAGAGCTGGGATACAAAGATAGGCATCTTGCCCCAGAGCCTGCCCTCTCACCTTCTAGCTCCTCACTGCCCAATACAGGAGCCACTGGCTGCATGGAGCTATCAGGTACTTGAAACAGGGCTGGTGTGACTTGAGAAGTGCTGTAAGTGTGAAATACACATTAGATTTCAAAGACTTTATGTAAAAAAATATATAAAATATCTTGCTAATACTATATCACTTACTTGTAGAAATGATAGTATCTTGGATATATTGAATTAAATGAAAGATATTATTACTATTCATTGTACTTGTTTCTTCTTAATTTTTTTCTTTTTTTTATTTTTATTTTTTTGAGATGGAGTTTCACTCTTGTCACCCAGGCTAGAGTGCAGTGGCATGATCTCACCTCACCACAACATTCACCTCCCAGGCTCAAGAGACTCTCGTGCCTCAGCCTCCCGAGTAGCTGGGATTACAGGTGTGCACCACCATGCCCAGCTAATTTTTGTATTTTTAGGAGAGACGAGGTTTCACCATGTTGGCCAGGCTGTTCACGAACTCCTGACCTCAGGTGAACCGCCCACCTCGGCCTCCCAAAGTGCTGAGATTACAGGCGTGAGCCTCCACGCCCAGCCTCTTTTTACTTTTTTTTATATGAGCTGTAGAAAATGTTAAGTGATGTTTGTGATTCACACTACATTTCTGTTGGGGGGTACCGCTGGCTAGTGCCCTAAACTCCTAGTTCGGTGGATGCGTTAAATCAGTTAATGCAAGGAGGACACCTAACACCTAACACGCTGCCTGAAACAAATTAAGCACCTAATAGCTATTATTAATATTAGTGAGAGGACTGGTTTTCAAATATTGTAGTCCAGTATTTTTTTTCCCAAAAAAAAAAAAAGTTTTTTCTAAATTTTTTTGAGAAAAGTTCTCACTCTGTCACCCAGGCTGGAGTAGAGTGTTATGATCATAGCTGACTGCAGCCTTGAACTCCTGGGTCTAAACGATCCTTCTGCCTCAGCCACCTGAGTAACTAGGACTACAGGCACATGCCACCACACCCAGCTAATTTTTTTAATTTTTTGTAGAGACAGGGTCTATTTTCCCTAGGTTGGTCTTGAACTTCTAGCCTCAAGCAATTCCCCCACTTCAGCCTCCCAAAGTGTTGGGATTACAGACGTGAACCACCATGCCCGGCTCGCAAACAACTTCTTATAACAGATAAAAGAGGAGCTTTTGCAGTAGCGTAGAGCTTCGAGGAGCCCTCTCCCGGAGCCCATTCACCCTGGGCACCACCTCCACAAACTGGAAAACCCACATGATGGCATAATCTTTAAGTGTCCTTCAAACTTTAGCATTCCCTATCATTCCAGAGAAGTTGAGAAAGTGGTATGGGAAAGAATTAAGGTGTCCGCGGCAGTATATTACAATGATTATGGTAAAACATTCCCATTTTGCTTGGGAAAATCAAAGTGGCTTGGTCCCAGGTCTAGGCACAGCCCAGAAATGGGAGCATCACCAATGCGAATTGGGGGTCACCTGTGGGCTCCTGGATCATTACCCATACACGTTCGCATGGACAATACCAATGCACCATGTCACCTCTCCACTTCAGCTGGGTCACAACCTGCCAGCTCCCCACCCACCCAGAACCTGGGCAGACCAGACACAGGCTCTAGGCAGGCGCCAATGTCCTAGTCTAGCTCCAGGGCCGGGCAACAGTGACACTCAGCCCAGGCACCACAATGATTTTGCTGTCCTGAAGGCAACTTAGGCTCAACCAGCCCTGGTGTCTGCCAGGCAGGCTCCCAACTCTGCCTCCAGCCCTCGCCCCTGGCTCTGGTATCGTATGTGTGGAAGGGGAGAGCAGCCAACTCTTCGCCGGGCTCTCTAACAAGTTCCGCGGGTCTGTTTGTTAAAGAAAAAATTCCAGTGGGTGCATCCAACACATGGAACTCAAGTACAGAAATTATATTTATCCGCCCCACTGCCAAGGAGATCACATGCCCCGTGAGTCACTCCAGATGTGCTCAAAAACAGAGTCTCTCTGTGGAAGCCCAGTCCCCCAATCCCAGAGAGAGTCAAATGAAGAGAGGTACCGACTCCTGTCCCACCCAGGACGCAGCCTTCAGCCTCCAGCCTTCTGAGGCAGAGTAGGCATTTCTGCACGTCTGCAAAAGGAAGGGAGGGAAGCACTCCATCATCTCACTGGGAAGAACAGCGCGGGCATACCTGCAGCTACTGGGGTTCCATTGGGCTTGAGCGTCGATTCATCACCTTTTGAAGGACAAGATGCATTGGAAGACGTTGCTGCTTCTGCTGTTGTATTCCAATGCTCAGGCTTCCATGTGCCACAGGTGGAGCAGGGGTGAGTTGCTTTTTATTCATTTGTTTGTCTGATGCTCATTATTCTTTTTTAAATGCAATTCAAAATTTGGAGGGAAGGACATTAGAAGCCCTGCACTCTCCTTTTATCTAATCTCTGTCAATTGCTTGATGCTTCTTGACATGTTCCCCCTTCTTAGAGGGTGATGGGGAAATGACACTGGAAAAAAATCAAAGCCCCTGAGGGAGCTAGGTTGAGGTGGAGAAACCAGAGAGCATCCCTTTCTGGTATCCCAGAGAGAACTCATTTCTGCTTCATAGAAAGTAGAACTCATTTCTTCGACTGCCCCCACCACCTGCAGCAGTTGGGCCAGACCGTCTGGAGAGCAGGTGCTGAGGTCTGCTGCTAAAATGATGGAGTGATGGGGGCTGGGATGCCAAAGGCCTGCTCCCTGGGGGAACGAGAGCAGAAGATCTACAGGACGTTGCCTCCTCACCGGGAGGGGATGCATCTCTGCAGCCAGAGGTGGGCAGGTGAGGAGAGCAACCCTTCAGCCTCCGCCGCACCCACCGGCCCCACCACCTCCTCACAAAGGAAGGGGCCCCAGCAAAGGCTGTTCTCTCATCACTGACTTCCTCCCTCTCAGGATGTAGTTCCTCCTAGCTGGATGGCATCTTTTCTCCATTTCCCTGGGACTGGCTCTGCTTGGTAGACACCGGGAGCACCTCGAGCCAGAGTTTATCACTGTTAGGAAAGGAGGTACCCACAGCACTGCCCACTCTTCACCAATATGAACGGAAATCTTTCCACTGCCTAAAGTCAACTGAGTTCACTCTCCCAGAAAGAACTGCAACAAGAATGGGCTCCTTCAAGTCAGGCCAGTAGGTATTTCTAGAGATGCAAAATTGGAAGGCAACTGGCATGGTGGCGTGGACGCACCTCCTGCTTGCTTCTCAAGGACCGTGTCAGGGAAGGAAGGAGTGGCCGGAGTGGGGATAGAGCAGCTCGAGAGAAGGATCTGAAATGGGAGGGAGGCAAAAGCTACTGTACTTATGCTGGGTTTTATTTCCTCACGGTTCAACCTGATATTAGAGACTTACATCTCTAACAGGGATATAAGTCTTTTGAGCTGAGCTGTGAAGTGATCATTGCCCAGAAACAAATAATATAGCATTCTTCATTTTTCTCATAACAACATTGCATACACATGCACATGCACATGTACACCCCTCCCTTTTCCTTTTTTAATTTTTAATGTTTAATTTCTGTGGGTACATAGTAGTTGTTTGTATTTCTGGGGTCCATTAGATGTTTTGATACAGACATGCAGTGAATAGTAATCACATCATGGAAGATGGGGTATCCATCCCCTCAAGCATTTATCCTTCGTGTTACAAACAATCCAATGATACTCTTTTATTATTTTTATTTGTTATTTCTTTACTTATTTATTTATTTTTGAGATGGAGTCTCAGGCTGGAGTGCAGTGGTGCAATCTCAGTTCACTGCAACCTCTGCCTCCCAGGTTCAAGCAATTCTCCTGCCTCAGCCTCTGGAGTAGCTGAGATTACAGGCACCCGCCACCACACTTGGCTAATTTTTGTATTTTTAGTAGAGATGGGGTTTCACCATGTTGGCCAGGCTGGTCTCGAACTCCTGACCTCAAGTGATCCACCCACCTCAGCCTCCCAAAGTGCTGGGATTATAGGTGTGAGCCACAGTGCCCAGCTCTCTTTTAGTTCGTTTTAAATGTACAATTAAGTTATTATTGACTATAGTCACTCTGTTGTCACACATCCCTGTTCATGATGTGCACAAACTTTGAGGTAGCACTTGGAAGTAAAGAGCAAAGAGATCTTGGAGTTGGGTTCTGTCGCTCCGCTCTTTGTCACACTGGGGATTTGCTTATTAAACGGGATAATAATGCCCACTCTTCCTAATGCACAGGCTGTTACAAAGCCAAAAGGGATCATTTGACTTGCAATATGGCTTATAAACATAACAGCCACATCATGAGCTACTCTGCAAGGGACCTGATTTAAGTTCCATCTCTATTTGGCAGTGTGATCTCAGACAAGTCTCTTAACCTCTCTGAGCTTTAGTTCACTAACAGGTGACATTAACATCCATCACATCAATAAAACTCACCCTCATGGTGTTACCGTGAGGGTCATATTCAAAAATATAGATGAAAATGCTTTGTAAATGACAAGGCACAATATAAATATTAGCTATTGCCTACCCATTTTTGAAAAATAAAAATTTTTCATTAAAGGAAGTTTGAGGCTCTTAACAGGAAAATCTATGGCAATATTCTGGGAGCAGCTTCTCTGGACCATGTCCTTCCACATCGGGGAAGGTCCTTCCACAGTGAGTTCACAATCCACTGACTCAAAGCCAGCCCATCTGATATCGAGGCCACTACGAGGCAGCGGATGTGACGTGCTAGATTAATGGCTCAAGTCAGCGCTCAGAGTCAACAAATTATATGGAGTCCCTCCAACCATCATCAAATGTCTTCCATGTAGCTGATTTTTTTTTTCATTTTTAACATTTTTTTCTAATTATAAAAGAAATACACAATTCTTGCCATCTTTTTTTTTTTTAAGACGGAATAGGAGTCACACCCAAATGAATAACAGTTTTTCCAAATGTATTATTCATTTCACCTTCATCCTTACCCCCACCCTACCTCCTCAATTCAAAGTACTCAATTCAAAGTACTCCCTTTGGAAAGTCTTAGGGCAATCTCTTCCTGAGATTTTCCTCTTCCACTCCCTGCCCTTCAGCACCCCGCCCCACCGCTACCCCATGTCCATCCTCCTACCCTCCTGCTCCAACACGTAGAAATGTAGACATAAACCCACAGGCAATATGCACCCTGCTGTTAGGACTGTCTTTTTCCTACCATCCTCCCAGCCTTTGCCTAAGTGCTCTCTAGGATTCCACCCTGGGAGGCAGCTTTCCATGCCAGGATCCAGGATCACCCATTCCAGCCCCACCAGCTTGATGAAGACCAAATGACTCACCTGTGGCCAAGCCAGGAAAGCCACATCTACACACGCACACACACAAACACACACACAGGTGGCCCACATCCCAGCACATACCAGGTCCTGCCAGGGCACTACTGGAAGGGGAAGGACTAGCCATACTTGAGAAACAAATATGCATCTATTAAGGAATATGAATATCTATGCTTTTGTTGAATACACACAAATTATTTTTTAAGTAGTTTAATAGAGCAGCCCTTCTATTTTTTGATGGAACTTACGTCATTTTCAGGTGTCCATTTTAGGGTTGTGTGTGTCCTCAGTCATGAATGTTCCATGAGGGAAAGGCCTGTGGTCAGTACTCAGTAAGTACTCACTGACTGCCAGGCATGGTGGTGCACGCCTGTAATTCCAGTGACTCAGGGGGCTGAGAGGCCAAGAGTTTGAGACCAGCCTGGAAACATAGTGGGACCCCCCCTCCCATGTCTTAAAAAATTAAAATTAAAACAAATTAGCTGGGTGTAGCAGCATATGCCTGTAGTCCCAGCTACTGAGAAGGTTAAGGTGGTAGGATCACTTAATGCCAGGAGATGAAGGTGGTAGGATCACTTAGGCCCAGGAGGTCAAGGATGCAGAGAGCTATGATTGAGCCACTTCACTCCAGCCTGGATGACACAGCAAGACCCTGTGTCCAAAAAGAAAATTGTTTTAAGTATTAACTGCCCAAGTGCCCCATACAGAGCCATCTTCTCACTCCACAGTAACTCCATGAGGCAGGTGCTATCTTGGCCATTTACAGGTAAGAAAACTGGAGAGAGGAACAAGAAGTGAAGTGCCCCAGCTCCCCCAACTGCAAGGGCAGGGTTGAAGTTGATCCCCGAGGTCCATCTGCTGTCAGAGTGCCCCGTGCTCATTTGTCCGCTCTGCATATTTCTCCATCCCCATGGGCCACTCACCTGCTCCCGGCAACCCCAAGCTCCCCCTACATGGTGGAGCTTTCCAGCCAAGAGGAGCTGGCTGCCACAGCCCTCTCAGGAGCTCTCCCAGAGGACCCCCACGCACAGGGCCGAGACCCTGGCTTGCTCAGAATAGCACTGTGTTTACAGAGGGCTGGTCCAGGAGCCAAAAAGCAAATGACATCCGTCAGATCTGGCAAAAGATCTTTTACAAATGAGAGCTTTTCCTTTCCACACCCACTGTCCTTTCCTTCGAGTTGCTTCAACTGATTCATTAAAAATACAGTTGTAGTTTGGCTTGAGATGGTCTGCAGCTTGAATCCTTTCCAACAAGCTATTTGCCACAAATGCTACACACAGTTCCGGGGAAAGCATGATTAGCCTGAATATCGTGCTACTGAACATATCGGAGGGATGGGAGGAAAGAAGAAAGAGACTTTTAACCCAGATTACAGAAAGTCAAAGAGAAGGTCGGGCTGCCCAACAAAGACAGGCTACTCCACTGGAGTGCCTCTGGCTGTTTGTCTAGGCAAGAAAGCTTTGAAGGGCTAAGGTGTGGGGGAGGTAGGGGACAGCACTCACTGAGATCAATTAAAAAATAGCTTCTTCCAGGCCCAAACAGGGACTCCTCAGGGATAAGGGGAGGGTGTGGTGGAGACAGAAGTCAACATCTACTTTCTGATCATTAGCCAAGAGCGAGAATCACAAATAAACTCTAGATTCACCCTATTAGAAAAGGAAGGATTTTGTAAAGCACTCTATTTGAAAAGAATAGAGCTTAGTGACCAGGGCAGGTAATGTGTTCCTATGGGATTATTTATTCATCTGATGAACAGGAAGGGGCATGATGCTAGGCACTGGGAGTACAACAGTGAACAAAATAGACAAAATCCCATACCCTCTAGTGAGAGGAAACAGGCAACAAATATATTTATATTTTAAAATAGGTGATTTGTTGGATGATAATGAAGTAGGGACCGAGGCTAGAGAGTCCAGAGGGTCGTAATTTTAAACAGAGTCATCACAAAGAGCGTTTTTCTCCAGCCACATTCAGGTGCACAGGGGCAGGTGTGGAATGGGTAGAGCTGGATTG